TTAGACATATTTGAGGGTAGGAAAACTGCTATACCATCTGTTGTATCCTGATAACACTGCTAAACTTGTAACTGACTGACCACCAAGTCTGTATGTGGCAGAAAGCCACCAGTCACAGGGCCACGGTACCTGCCCTGATGGTCTGTAGCTGAATAGCTCAGTGGGCTAGAAATTGATGTTTATTATTATTGAATAAGTGAATGAATGAATGAAGGTAATTTAATTGTACTCTGTGGTCATAGATCAGCCTTCTGGCTGTCAAGTCCCTACTACTATTCAAAACTGAGAGCAAATTAAAAAGTGGGAAGGATCAGCAGAAATATACCACCAGTGCTGAACCACTTAAGCACTGCTGATGGTGTGTCAGCAGCAAGGTTATACCGTTGTGAATTATCCTTGAACTAGAATATAATACACAAATCTAGCAAAGACAAAAACGAAAGCTTTACCTCGCCATGTTCAAGGAGCTGTTTTCTGGAATAAAACAAAAATATTCTCTATTTACTGAATGTCCATTATACTATGATTACATCAAAATGAACTTCCATTTATTTGTTCTTATATTTTAAAAATGTAATTCTTTCTAAACTACTTAGGGGCATAAATAAAAATATTAGACAACATTACTAAAAATTACAGCAATTTAAAAGGCATGATTTAAAGTCATCCTATTTAAAGTATGTCAAAATGCTGTTCTTTGCTTAAGATAAAATAGGTTTTACTGACTGCTGAGGGCTGTACCTCTGGAGAGATAAATTAATTTTTAAAAATTTCTCTTAAATATTCAACTATATACAGGATATACAATGCTTTAGATAAGCATTGCTGGGACTTTTGAGTTGTTTTCACTTTTCATAATTATAAACAACATGAACATCCCTGTACATAAAACTCCGTGAGCATCTCTGAGGATTTCTTCAGGATAACTTTCTAGAATAAAAGTTACTGAGTAGAGCATAAAAATATTTTAATATCAGAAATATTGTCTAACACATTCTCCAAATATATATTTCTAAAAATATTTAATGGCACATCTACTGTGTTCTAGGCACTGTGCAGTGAGCACAGAGTGAATAGCATAGATACTGTGCTTATTCTCATAAAGTTTATGTTAGATTCAGACAAGAGGTATGAGACTGCCTATTTTATTGCTCCACTGAAAAGACTCAATATTTCAGTTTTATAAAAAGGCAATGCAGAATAAGAGGCCTTCTCACATGGATTTTGGGCTTGGAGAGAGAAGTATGACAGTATATAAGTAGGAAAGTAAGGGGTATAAGAAGTCCAGGGGCACACACAGATCCAGTAAGTTTTATAAAAACAGTAGTTGGGGGAAGTCCTCTTGAAATGGTAGTGAAATAACCAAGTTATTTTGCCACCATTGCAGCTCCTTCCTGACTTACGCAGTCAAGAGTGGAGTTGGGAGTGGATGAATGGGTTCCCACTTGTCCTGAAATCTGCCAGTCACAGCAGAATTGTGTATTGAGCTGTTGCATTTCAGGGAGAGGCCTAGTAGGTAAGTAAGTATTATAATCACCAAGGGCTCCAACAACAACTACTGATACTAATAAATCTAGTAACTGATTTAAAATACCAATATACAACCAAGTCAAGAGACACAAATAGGATGAAAGAGAAACAGTAAGATAAATGAGCAAATGAACTGACCTCTCAAGAAAGGGTAAATACAAGAACTATTAGAGTATTACATGAGTAATTCCAATTATTATTTTCACAGAAGTTTAAGAGGATATTGCATCCATACAATTAAAACAAGCTGTAATAAAAAGTTTTTAGAAATTCTGAGAAAAAAACATTTTTGCCTAATTTAAAACCTCAAAAGAAGGCTGAATAGCAGAATGTACACAGCTAAAATTGATAATGTTGAAGACCCAGTCATGGAATTCTCTGAGAACATAAGAGAAAAAAAATAGATAATATGATAAAAGCAATAATTGATTTTCAAAAAAGAGAAGATAAGCCAAAAAATGAGAGAATAACAATCCCATAAACTAAAGAAAGATTTGAGTGCTCAGATTAAAATGTACTATGAATAAATATTTGAAATGCATGTGCACACGCATGCACACACACACACACCCTTCAAAACATAAATTTCCATAGAGCAAAACGTTGTACAAAATTTCTTATCTGTAATGTTCAATGGTAGAAAACAATGAAGCAATATCTACAAAATTCTGAATAAAACCCAGAAATATCTATTAACTATTCCATCAATCTAATGTGACGGCAAAAGAAAGGCATTTTTCAAACAAAAAGGCATTCAGAAAGTGTGCTGTCCCTATACTCTTTCTAAAAAACATCATTTGAGCACAGGTACTCTATGAATCTAAGACAGAGAAAGCATGAGATACAAGAAACAGTTAAGAACCAGTTTATTTGCCGAATAAACTAGTAAAATTTTGGAGTCAAGTCCATAAATTGCTTTTGTCTTTAATCTAAATGTTCAGAGAGACTTCTTAAAAAGAAAGTATTATAAAATCTAGCTAAAATTTCAGATTCTTTCAGAGTAATATGGGAAGTGAGGGTAGGTCAGAAGGGAAAAGTGTTTCAATAGCACACTGGTGAAGCAAGCAAGTCTCTACATCCAGAGTGCCTGATTTTTAATTTAAAAAATTATTTTGGTTTATATGGCCACAAGGAAACATCCATAACTAAATAGGGTTATTACAACTAACAGCAAAAAAGATCATTTAACTTTGAGCCAGAAACAAAACAATAACAAAAGACAAAGCCTATTATCACTGTAATTATTTAAAGTTGTTATGGAAGTTCTAGCCAATACAGGAAGACAAAGAGAAAAAGAGATATATAATCACTGAGTAATTATCATTATTTGTAGATTATAATGACCATCTGCCTAGACAATCTAGAGAATCAACTGTGAAACTAAAAGTAAAAAGAAAGTTTGGTAGTGTTGCTGGATAAAAATTCATGTATAACAATCAACATTTTTCTATAAACTAGCAATGATAAATTAGCAAATATAACTTAAAATTGCCCCCCACTGAAAAAGGAAAAAAATCTATATAATCCAGAAGAAAAAAACGTTAGTAAGGCTCTCAGAGGGAAAAAAAAAAACTATAAAGCTTTAATAAACTGTAAGAATTAGAACAACAGCAATAATCATAATACTCTGGTGTTTGTTCTGTTCACAGTTCTAAACTACTTTCACACATTAATTCTTCCAATACATACAGTAACCCTGTCAAGTTGGTGTTGTTATTCCCATTTTACAGATAATGAAACTGAGGCACAGAGGGGTTAAGTTACTTGCCCACACTAGTAAGTAGAGATATACCTACTTGGTATGGATTGGAAAATCAATTATATAAAGAATAAATTCTCTTTGACTTAATCAAAAGCAATTCCAATAGACTATGATGAGTGCCTGGGGCTACGAGGATTCTAGGCACATTCATTCCAAAGTTTCCTGGAAAAGTGAATGTAAGCAAATGTGAAAAACAGTAACAACAAAGAGGGGAGGGCTGAAATAGTTGTTCTGACTCAGAAACAAATAGATTAAAAGAGAATCTAAAAATAGTATCAAGTACATATGAGAATTTATTAGTATGTGATTAAAACTGATATTTCAAATGACTGGGGAAAAGATTATACAATATTGCATTGAGACAATACCTAATTTGAGGGGGAAAAGGTAAATTCCTAAAGGTCAACATACTGCAAAATGAGTGCAAAATTGCCACTATGTGCACATCCATGTCTCATAAATTGTCTCCACTGTGGGCTCACAAGTGTCCCACACCCTGGAGCCACTGTCACTTCATGAGTGCTGATGCTGCAGTCCTTGGCACTGTTCCTGCTCTGCACATGCCCACACCTCTGGCTCCACACCCACCACTACCACAGGCCAGCTAGAACCATCGGATCCCAGAGCTGCTGTTGCTCTCCAAGCGTACAAGCTCCAATCCCCAGCAACATGGCTGTTCCATGCGTGCTCATCCATCAGTCACCAATATCACCACTACCACAAAGGGCACTCACAAGTCAGAGCCAGCGCCAAGGGGTTTCTCCTCAGCCACAACATCCCCTCCGGGAGAAAAAGAGATCAGGTGGTCCCTAGCAGCTTCACCACTGCAGACCTGAATAGCCCTCACCACTACTACAAACATCCATCCATCTACAGGTGCCTTTGTTTTCTATGCACTTAGGACGGTGGCTGAAAACATTTAGTTTATCAGTAATGAAGCCATTTCTTGTGAAATGTATTACTAAAACAAATTACCATAAAAAATTAAAATCATTTAAGGGACACTAGAACATTTTAATTAAGAATTAAGAATCTTCTTGCAAAATCAGTGTAGTGTAGTAGGAAAACACATAGATTTCAGAATTAGGAAACCTGGTCTTTCCCTGGCAAAACCAGTTTGTAAAGTCTGGAAGAGGTGATTGCTTCACCAAATGCAGCAATATCAAAGCAAGAAACATGAAAAATCAAGGAAATGTGACACACCAAAGGAACACAGTAATTCCCTAGTAACCAATCCTGTAGAAGTGGAGATCTATGAATTGCCGAAGAATTTCAAGTAATTGTTTTAAGGAAGCTCAGTGAACTAGAGAGAACATAGAACTAATCAAAATCAGGAAAACAACACATGAGCAAAATGAGAAGTTCAATAGTGAGATAGAAATTGTTGAAAAAAAGAAACCCAAACAGATATTCTAGAGGAGAAGAATACAATGAATGAAACAAAAAATGCAACAGACATTATCACAGGCACACTTAATCAAGCAGAAGAGAATCTGTAAACTTGAAGACAGAACACTTGAAATTATCCAGTCAGAGAAGATAAAGAAAAAAGAATACAAAAGAGTGAAGAAAGCTTACATGAATTATGGAACACTATCAAGAGAAACAATATTCACAACTGGGACCCCAAGGATGAGATGAGAGAGAAAAAGGGCAGAAATCTTATTTAAAGAATAATGGCTGAAAACTTGCTAACTCTGGGGAAAGATATGGACATCCAAGTCCATTGATGCTCATCAATGCCAATACAGATTCAACCCCCTCAAATTCACTAGATACATTATAATAAAACTATTAAAATCAAAGACAAAGAATGAATTCTGAAAACAGCAAATCCCCTCATATAAGGGATGCCCCTGTAAGGTTATCAGCAGATTTCTCACCAGAAATCTTTGAGGCCAGGAGAAAGTGGGATGATATACTCAAAGTGCTCAAATAAAAAATCTGCCAACTAAGAATACTTTACCCAGCAAAGCCATCCTTCAGATGGAGGTGAGAGAAAGACTTCCCCAGACAAACAAAAGCTGAGGGGGGCTCATCATAACTAGACGTGCTTTGTAAGAAATGCTAAAGGGAGTCCTTCAAGCTGAAATGAAAGAATGCTAATTAGTTACATGAACACATATGAAAGTATAAAACTTATCAATAAAGGTAACTATATAGTCAAATTCAGAATACTCTAATACTGTAATAGTGGTGTGTAAATCACTTAACTCTCATATAAAAAAGAAAAGTATTAAAAAATAAATACAGCTACAATAATTTGTTAATAGGTTCAAAATATGAAAAGTTTCAGATTGTGACATCAAAAGCACAAAATGGGGAAGGGGGAAGTAAAAAGGTAGAATTATCGTATGCAATTGAAGTTAATTTGTTACCAGCTTGAAATAGATTGCTGTAACTATAAAATGTATTATGTAAATGTCATGAGAACCACAAAGCAAAAACCTAGATACACAAAAGATAAAGAGAAAGGAATCAAAGTATTCCACTATAAACAATCACCAAGTCATAAAGGAAGACAGCACCAGAGGAAGAAAGAAAATACAAAACAGGCAGAAAACAATTAAGAAGATGGCAAAAATAAGTCCTCATCAATCAATAATTACTGTAAGTGTAAACTGATTGAATTCTCTAATCTAAAGATATAGAGTGGCTAAACCCAGCTATATGCTGCCTATAAGAGTCTCATTTTAGCTTTAAGGATACACATGAGGTAAAAGTGAAAAAGGTGACAAAAGGTATTCCACTCAAAAGGAAATGAAAAGAAGCCAGCGGTACCTAATATATACATATAAAATCAGGTGAAATAGATTAAGTTGAAAACTGTAACAAGAGACAAAAAATAAAGTCACTACATAATGATAAAGGGGCCACTTCATCAAGAGGATATAACAATTTTAAATCTATATGCACCCAGCTTTAGGACACCTAAATATATTAAGCAAATATTAATAGATAGGAAAGGAGAAACAGATAGCAGTTATTATTAACTACAGTTAAAATATTGCATTGTATATTTGGTATTTGCTAAGAATGTAGACCTTACGTGTTCTCATACACACAAAACTCTGTGACTGTTGAATGTGTTAATTAACTTGGTTGTGGTAATCACTTCACAATGTTTATGTATATCAAATCATGTGTTGTATCCTTTAAATATATGTGTATTTATTTGGCAAAAAAATGAAAGCTATGAAAGAGAATATGGAGAAATATTTTTATGATGGGGGAAGTATTTCTATGCACAGAAAGGATAACACAGGAAACAGAAAATGTACAGTTGTGATTGTATAGAAATTTTAAGCTTCTATAAAGCAATCACCATTAACAAACTATAAATTGACATCCTAGAATAAACTATATTATACACAAAGTAGACAAAAGATTACAGTCTGTAATATTAAAAAAAACACCACAAATCAACCTTCTAACAGTCAAAAAGGAATACAAATAGCTAACAGATATATGGAAAGAAGAAAAACTTCAATGGTAAGGCTTGTAAAATAAAACGAGTTACTTTTTAAAAAACTATCAGTTAGAAAATATTAAAAGTTTAACAATACTGGTGTTCATGGAGATGCAGAACATGGACACTCTTAACATTATACGTTCTCAGCACTTATCAAATTGTAAAGTATTCATATCTTATGATCCCATAAGCAGCCTCATTTAAAATATTCCAAATATTAAATATTCTAAACACTGAAATAAGTGTGCAAACGAATATGTACAAGGATGTTAATTACTTATAGCATTGGTTGTTATGACAAAAAGATAAATATAATCTAAACCTTCACTGATGTAGGAATGGCTTAGTAGACAGTAGTCACTCATGATGATAAACAATAAAATGTGCAGGCTACTACAAAGTATGAGGAAGACCTAGGTAGATGTCCAAGATATGTTGTTAAAAGAAAGTAAAGTTACAGAATAATACCATTTAAAAAAATACATTGTGTTTTTGGAATTGTTTTCTGGAAAGATACATACAAAGCCACTTACAATCAGTACCAAGGAGGAATGCATCTAAGAGAGGAGAACATTTCCTCTTTTCCTGATATACCATTTTGTCTGACTGTGTTACTACAAGCATGTACAGTTGACCTTTGAACAACATGGAGGTGAGGGGCACAGTTGAAAATCCAAGTATAAATTACACTCGGCCCTCCATATACTTGGTTCCTCCATATCCCAGGATTCAGCCAACCACAGATCTACTAGTAGTGTAGTATTTACTACTGAAAAAAGATCTATGTATAAGTGCAGTTCAAATTCATGTTTTTCAACAATCAACTGTGTAATTTTTGTGATTTAAAGGACCCCTCTGCCCATATACATAGAGAGAGCTATCACTTTCAGGAATGTAATCACCAAGAAAGACCTCCTTATTTTGAGTTAGGTGTCTTTAACCAATTGGCCCCCTCAGGTCTGTCCTCTTCCAGACTACATCTTCTCAAATATTTGAAGACAGCTGCCATGAACCTCTCAATCTTCTATTATCCAATTAAATATCCCAAGTTTTTTTTTTTTTGCAGTCCTTATGTGAATAGTTTTCAGGGCTCTAAAAATACTCTTTTTAGAATGGCAAGACACATTCCCCTGAGGTCCATCTGAGTAGAACAAAGTAGGGTGAATCTATTTACCCTCTTGATTTGGAAATGATTTCAACAAATGAAATTTGTACCATTTCAACCGTAAGATTCTAATTAGTTCTTCTGACAACCATTCAAAACTGTTTGCTGAAAATATAAGCATGGGGTATAGGATTCATGGAAACTCTCTGTACTACGTTCACAATTTTTCTGTAAATCTAAAACTGTCCAAAAAATAAATTTTGATAAAAACAACCAATTTAATGGACATATCTACAAACATAAAATGTAAGTTGAGTTAAGATTTTCCTCAGAAGGAAGTTTTCTTCACGATTTACTTCTCATGCCTGTAGCAATGTATGATTTATTTGAGTTGTTATATTTTCTCACATATGTTTATATCATAATTCTAGTGACTACTAAAACTGCAAAGAAATGTGATAAAACAAATAGTTTTAACCATAAATGTAGGAAAAAAACTATTTCATGAATATTCAGAAAAACTAATAAGTATGCTTTCTTTGAAGGTTAAAAAAAGAATTGTCAAAATAAAACTTTAGCTTACTTCTTTTTACTGACTTTAAATTGCAGTAGTATATGAAAATTAAACTAGATCAATTTAAACTGAGTTAATTCACAAATATAAATACCTCCAAAACAAGTCCAAATACACAAAAGAGAGATAGCCATAAGAATAATACATTCAATCTTTTTTTTAAGAAAACATCTAAGTTTGGTGCATGTCTCCTTTTTAAATCATAATGCTGAAGTTTAATTACATTCATCTGGAAAACTGATATTACAGTAAATTATTTAATAACTGAATATGGTATGATTTAAAAACAACTATGATATAATTACCTTAGATAAGTGTTTGTAGATAACACACACAAAATATCACGAAAGGCCTGTGAATAGAACCAAATCAATGAAACTTCTAAGGAATTAAGCTGACATTTAAAATGCCCTGATTCATTAATATAAACATCCCCACTAGGAAGAAGTCTTCTTATTGTTAAAGTGAGTTCTCAGGAACAGTTTGATCCCAACTCTACCTCAAGCAGATAATTTCCTGAAGTTGTAACCTCTTTTTCCATTAAAAAAGAAAAGTATTGGAGTAAATCTTTCAGCTCTAAAATTCTAAGCTTTTATATGTGGATAACTTCTTACTAGAGTTTAAGTTTATATTGTACTGGGAGACGGGTGGACTGTAGGTGGGGGATTTGCTTCCACAAAGGCGGCAGCTTCCTCCAGGTACTTGGAGAGACTATTTTATCTTGACCTTCCAAGTGAATTAGGAATCTCTATCTACACAGTCTATATTCCAACTTCACTCAAAACTCCCGATTACTATAAAATTAGCTGTGGCATATCTGCTTCCCTGATCTATCTCAGCCTAGAGGGACTGCTACCGAAGCCTTGAGAACACTTATCAAAATGTACCAGATGGTGATGAGGGAGGGAGAGAGGAAGGAGTGAAGGGGAATGTGGATGCCAACTTTGGCCAAAAAGACTTTAGCAGCAATTATACACAACTTAAGATAAACAAATTAACGGGGAACTTGAAATTTTGCACTCTACATGATACGTGGTTTGTAAAGTCACAGATAAATTCTGAAAAAATACATAGTTAAATTTGGACTCTAATGTTAAATGAAATCTAAGTTTAGAATTTTTAATGTCTCCCACTGATTCAAGAGCATCCTGCATGGAAGAATGTTTCAAGTAACATAAATGAGATTACAATCATTTCGGCAAGCAAAAGTCTATTGAAAGGTATAGATAATAGAATATATCCATTTATAGGAGACCAAGATTCAATATTGTCACAGGAAAATTATAGTAGACATGCCTTCCTCCTTTCCTTCCCAGAAGTGATTCCACACAAGTAATAGTTAAATGAACACCAGAAGTATCCTTGAGATGGAAAATAAGCCACAATAGAATGATAAAGGCTGAAGGGTTTATGTGGATGCAGAAAGGAGTGAAGCTTTAACAGCCGCAGGAAGGCACGGATGCATGAGCCTGTTAGTGCACATGCATGGTTCGAGCTGTGGTGTGTTTTGGGGCTAGTATTATGTTTATGAGTCTTGGATCTTAGATCTTAATTTTTTTTAAATAGTTAATAGTAGATCTAGTTATCATTTTCTCCTGTGCTAGATATCTCCCCACTGAATAGTTAATTCCTGCAATAGTCCCTCCAGGTGGAGCCTTGTAAGAATCCCACAATTTGCCATGATGGACTAGAGCAGGCTAGTGGAGAAAATCTGCAACTTGAGTTAGGTAGGGCCAGAGCAATGGAGAGCAGCCATCTTGTGTGTAGTTTACCCATGCCTTCTCATTACCTCTACCTGCCCTGACTCTTTCCAAGTGGTCCCTAGGGAACTAGATTAAGGGTAAAACAACAGAGATATAGAGGAAGATGCCTTTCTCGGTCATAAATTATTCATAGTCTATGTGAAAACAAAGCAATGAGAAATGTGGGAACTGCAACTACATAGAGAAGATATGCAATTTGACTTTAAATATAGAACACTGGCTTCAACAGGACCAAGCAATAGAGAAATAATGTTACTGCTATCTGCTTAAAAGCACAAAATAAATACACACTGACTTAATGTAGGAAAACTTTAAAATGATATAAATAAAGATGGTTCAAAATTGCTAAAAACTGCAGACCCACTGTCTTTAATCAGGCTTTCAGATAAACCACTCCCAGACCAAAAAAATCTTCCAGTGTTATTTTAAACATTATTTCTTCTATTGTGATAACAGTGTGAAAACAGTGAACAATAGAGAATGATTTTTTAATGGCTATAAAAATTTCTCCTATTCATTTCTCAGAATGGATCAATATTTCTTTGAATGTGCTTTATATGTGAAGGATACCAATGTGGCCACTGTACTTTTCTTTTATAGTACCTATAACAATTGCAGCTCTTTAATTATTTGTTTACTCTTCCCTCCCTACTCCAAGACCATGAGTTTCAAAATAGGGGTGGGCCTGTCTTATTTGTCAAGTGTACCTACAATGTTAATGTAGTTCTTGGTACATAGAGAATAATCAACAAATTTCTTTTGAAAGAAAAGATAAAAATAGCTTTTCAAACTTGGCTTTCAGGGAAAAAAACCCGCACATAATACTAGATAAAGAAAAATCCGAATAAAAAAAGTTTTGTAGGGAGGGGAAGAGGTCACCCTAAAAAGACAGAATTCTGAGCTATTAACATTAATCTAAGTCCTGGTCTTGAACCCAAAAGCAAGCAAAAAAAATTTTTAAATACCTTTTTAAAGATAAAATAAGTAATCATCATAACAACCGGAAGCAATAATGTCTTTGTGTATCTCAGTGGTGTCTGAAATATACCAAATTTTTCAAAACATTTATTAAATTTTACATTAAATGAGGAAAAATCTATATCAAATTAAGTGTCAAAATACAATTTTGTAAAGGTGAAAATATCTTTGTCATTAACAGAATACATACTTATCAAGTTGCATCTTCTAATATAAGAAGCAAAATGATAAAAAAAAGTTATAACAAGTATATCAAAAAATTTAGTGATAATAACTATTCAACCGAAATTAGCCATGGATATTATTTTTTCCTTTCTTTTGGTTTTATCTTTCCCTTATTTATATAATAGAAAGTTTTAAAATGTATGTTTACTGATCCCTGGGCCCTAGATTATCATTTCCTGGGCTGCAAAATTCTATTGCTTTCATTTGTGAAACTACAGAACTAACAAGGGAGACAGTTAGCCTAAGTAATTACTGTAAGTATAAATAAGTACTAAAATAATATCAGCAGTCAGATAATTCTCATGAATGATAGCAGAGAGTGATTTACCATGTAACTAAATTACATATCTCTTGAAGGGAGGAACCAAGTCATTTTTCTCTCTGTATTCCTATAGCATACTGCCTCACAGATAATTAGTGGTCAGTAATCAATTTTGAATGAATTGGATAGGTAAGAGAATAATACAAGGTTAGTAGTATAACTTTCTTGGCAACATCTTATTTTAAAATTTTATAATATTTGGGATATTTAGTGAAATTTTTAAATAACAAAAATGAGAATGTGGGTTTATTTTTCCTGAGTGGTCCCATACTTCCAACTGATCTAGATTATTACAAGTAGTTGAACTGTAATGATAATAATTCACTGTGGGTCATATAGTATGTTATGCCCTCTCCTTGGTAGGGGCCATTGTTTACTGATTTTACACATAAGAAAACAAGTGAGGAAGGCCATATGACTAGCAAAAGTTACCATAAAAATGATAAAGTAAGTAAGTTGGGTGTTTCTGAATAAAAATTTTGAGTTTCAGATTAAAAGGAAAACTTAAGAGCAAGAACCCATCATATCCATAGAGAAGGGAAAAAAAAGAAATTTCAAACCGCTTTTTCCATGAAGTCAAATTCAGGAGCACAAGTGTAAATTAAAGTATCAAAATCTGTGTATCTTAAGATTCTGGCTGCTATAAGGTCACTCAGGCGTATCTGGAAAAAAATAAAGTAAAACAAATTAAAATTACACAAATAATTATAGTCAATAATAACTGGTTTGATGTAACAGTAAAAAAAAAAAGTCTAAAAGGAAGATAAATCCAAGGTACATAGATGCCCCTCAAAGAAAACAAACAACAAAAATACAGTGAACCATACATGCTATGCCCTGAATTACAAAGAAAATAAAAACAAAGAGAAGTATCAAGAGAAATGAAAAGGAAAATGAGGTCAGGAAAAATAAACAGGGAAGACGAGAAGTGAGCTAAAATCAACATTTGCTTGACACAAATCACCATGCAGTTGATCATGAAACTTTATAATCAGATCATTACCAAGAAAAAAAAAATTTCATGTTAACTCCTTTCACTACAAATTGTAAATCATCAGCAAATTTTCCATGTACTGTCATTTTCACAAAGCCTCAGACACTGCTCACAATCTTTGGTGTTTCTTGAATTTTTCAGACATACATTCAAGCCATTAAATATGAGAGTTATTCTTCGTAAGAATGATAACTAT